AGCAATTTAAGCCAACTCAACATCTGGCAAAGAATTCAGTGCTGGTAATCAAAGAATCATGCTAAACCTAGGCACAAAGTTTGCTCTTGGCCAAAACCTGCTGGAGTGATTGGGAACACAAAGGACAAAGACTTCCAGACATTTAGGAGTAGTTCAGGGAGTGCTGGAACCAAAGGCTTACTCCTGGAGAAGTGAGTCAGGTGTACTGGAGGGGGACCGCAGCCTCTGTAATGAGAGATTACTCTATCTCTTAACTGTAATAGTCATTACTCACTTTATTCACTAAGTATGCATTTGTGTTTGTGTCTGTGTTTGCTAAGGGTCTTCCATGTGTAAAGCACCGTGCAGGTGGCTGGGCTGGGAGGATGAGATGACAAGGTGCTAAATGAGTACAAATTAGTAGATGAGACAATCATACCCACAAAACCTGCTATTATGAGACACAGTGGGAACAAAGAGAAAAAGGGGTTTAACTCAGTTTGGGGGGGCAGAGAAGGTTTCCCAGACCAAGAGGGCACTGGATTCCAGATTCGATGGCTTATCAGGAGTTTCTCTGGCAGATCAGAGCAACCTAGAGGAGAAGGGCCTGAGTCAGAAATCAGGTTGTTATTGCCTTTCAGGACAGTTGGGGTGCTGGAGCCAAGAACAGACCTGGAACAAAGTTAGTGCTATTTTTATAAGCTAGAAAAATATCAGCAGCAGGAGCCCCGGCCAGAATCCTCCCACAAAGTGCAAACAAAGCGACTCCTATCTTCTGGCCGTCTGCTGGGGAACTTACTAACCAGCACCTTAAGAACAAAATGTTCTTTTATCTTTGAGTTTTATTCCCACAAAGTCCATCCTCCTCTTTTTCCAGAGTTAGAGAAAGCATAAGCTGAGTTATACTTGTCTCTTTGATCTCCAGCCTCACATTCCAAGCTTTCTTTGGGAATCAGAGTCCAGAGCCATCTCCCCAAAGCAGGGTGCTGAAGGTTCCTGCTGGTCAGAAGCTGGGGTCCCAGGTAGGTGGCGCCAGATGAACACTTGGTGTGAACACAGCTAGTGGGCTGTTGGGGAGAGGCCTGAGTGACATCTGGTTCTGACTCCAAAGCTGGGTTCTTACCTGAAACTCAGTAATCTCATAGCACACTATTTACCTGGCCCATTCATTAGTCTTCTGAACTCCACCTCTACAGAATCTTACAGCAGGGAATCCTGTACTCAGGTACAGAGAGTGGAGGGGGAAGTGAGGGCAGGTTCATGGAAGAAGTTCTGACGGACACTTCCTAGTGTCTTTCTGGGTGCTACCCCCCAGAGCTCCCATTGGGAAGGCTCCTTCTCTGTGTCCACAATGTCCACAAGCATTGTGCTTCTGGAGTAAACACCAAAGAGAGATGCCTGGTTAGTGTGAGCCTACTATGTACCAAGTGCTACTATGCACCAGGGGAATTTAAGTCTGGACCTTTGGATTCTGCACTGAGTGCTCTCATCACTGTATCACAGTATGTCTCAGGGAATTAGCTGTCTTCTCCCTTGGCCTGCATGTCTGCAGTAAGCTACACACATGCAGGCCAGGGGAGAAGAACAAGAATTTTCTCTCCAGAGTGGGACTTTGTTTTGTTCCTTGCTGACATTTTTAGATAATATAATTTTTGGATATTTGGATATTTATAAAATCATTTGCCAGCCATACCAAATTTTCAACTTAAATGGCCCAAGTGGTTGGGTCCATACACACACACACACACACAGGAGACTCAGGGCACCCAGATGGAGTTCTGGCTCTGGGCTTTGACGTGACCCAGTCCTGGCCATTATGGCCATTTTGGAAATAAACCAGCGGATGGAAGATAGATTTTCTCTCTCTTCCTGTCCCCACCTTTCCTCTGTAACTCTTTCAAATACATAAATAAATCTAAAAAAAAAAAAACCCTTGTACATTTACTGAATTTCAAGTTCCCACCCATGGTTGCCTTGACAGGACCAGACCAAACGATTTCACAGGCCTTATTCAGCCTGTGGACTGGACATTCCCCACCTCCAGTCTAGACCAAGAGTTGACAGGTTTACAGGAACTACAAACTCTTATTATATCTTCAACAAGTAGGTGGGGGGACCAGTGGATGATCTTTCTAGAATGTTCAAGCCTCTGTTCTCCACATTGAAAAGGGGCAGAAGCAGGGTGGAAAATGAAAGGAAACATTTGCCTCCATGACTCTTCTCCTTGCTGGACTGCTGAACTGGCCATAGGTGAAAGCAAGAGGAGGAAGTTTAAGAACAACCATTGGTCAAAAATGTAAGTATATTTTCCTGTCTCATAATCACAGAGTCCCCTTCCTATGCCCTGGAATCACTATTGGCACTTACATTCTGCCATTAAAGAATCCAAGGTCCTAATTCTAACTTTCCACCTAAAAAACTCACTTGTGGGAAATACAGGGAGAACCCTCTAGCTATCGAGCATTTGTATTTTACAGGGAATAAAGAGCTAAGCCAAATCTGTACGGATACAACTTCTGTCACTGAGCATCTTTTTAGGGGAAAAACCAATTCGTTTGCCAGTCACTCACTGTGGGGCACAGTGAGTGCTGAGCAGAAGTGAGAAGGTATGTTGTTGCCTGTCCCTTAGGGCGGTGCAGGAAATGGACAAGGAAGTCACAGTGCCCGCGGTTCCCCAACAAGCAGCCCTCTTTTCAGCAGGAGGTGGCCCCAGTTGTGAGGCTTGTCACCAGCCTGGGGGTGGATTACTGAGACTGTCATCCCAGGGATAAGAGGCAAACGTGGGGGGGGGGGAGCTACTCTGGCTTGACACACATTGTGCAATGTCAGAATTGCTAGGGGACATGGACACTCTACTCTGACTGTCTAGAACTCAAGCTATCCCCAAGCTTGTACTTAAAACTCAAGTGAAGACATTCCAATCAGAAGCACACACTACACACCCTGCAAAATCCCTGGAGGATTGCCTGTAATCAAAACTACACCGTTCAACCAACCCACATGTGGTATGGGTTGCTTGCTACTTCTCAGGCACTGAGACAAACAGGACAAACATTTCACAGATCAATGAGCACTATCCTGTTTTTGCAAGTCCACAGCCCATGTAGAAGAACAAGATACGGTTTAATAATCTGCTGTACAAGTTAACAGGTTAACTTTCACTCTACAGGTTACGGCCATGACATCTTACTCTTGCCTTTGTATAACTTTATTATAATTTAATAAACTTGTCAGGGACCTGTAAGATGAGATACAGGGCTCAGCACAGGGGAAACAAGATGAAAAATATAATTTCCCTACCTCCAGGGGTTCCTCATCTAATGGAAAAGGCAAGCGGATATATCAGGAATTATAGCACATTGTGATTTTTCTTCAAATAGATAAAAGTGATGAAAGAAGCACAAGTTAGAGAATTTTTAAATAAGTCTGGGTATTCCCTGGGAGTCTATGCAGGAGAGAAAGTCTCTGCTACGGGTCTTTAAGTTTGAAGAAGTTGGCAAGCTGGAGCACTAGAGGACTGCTATTGTTTGAATGTATTGCTAGAAGTCATACATTGGAAATTCAACCTCATTGCCAAAGTATTGAAGAGTGGGACCTTAGAGAGGTGACTGGATTGTGAGGGTCTGCCCTAGTTAAGATATTAATGCTGTTACCAGGAGAGTGTGTTAGTTATCACAAGACTGGGTTCCTAACAAAAAGATGGGTTCAACCCATTCCTTCTCTATCTCACTCAGGTTTGTCTTGTCGTTCTGTGTTCTACCATGACATGAAGCTGCAAGAGAACCCTTTCCATATTCCGGTGCCTCAGCCCGGACACTGCCAGCATCCAGAACCACAAGAAATCAATCTCCGCTCTTTATAAACTGCTCAGTCTTAGGTATTCTGTTATATCAACATAAAATGGACTAAGGCAAGGAACAGTCACTGTGGGCATGTACACCTGTGCCAAGACATGGGGCTGTAAAGGCACAGTTCTGGGAGCATAACCAAAGTATATGGAAGACATAATTCTGGGCTATAGGATGAATTATGAACCAGAATGTCTTTCAAATCTTGTTGAGCGTGTTCCATGGAAAGAAATACATTTTCAACATGGCCTATGTATACACATATGCATACACATAAAACAGAAACTGTCCCACAAAATAGTGCTTACCTTGCCATGGAAGACATAGCTTGATGTTTTCTACCCTATTATAGCCCACTGTATTCTGTTCTGAAAATTCAATGGTCATACTACTAAGTTATATCATGAATTGTGAACCACAGTTTAAAACAAAACATGATTAGAATGAAAGCCTAGGAAAAAATATATAGTGATGGCTGAAATGATAGATACTGAAAGTAAAAACAACCAAAAATAAATAAATAAAACTGTAACAGGGATGAAGAAAAGATCAGAATCATCACACTTAACTGTAATGATTTCATTGTGTGTTTTCCCATTATAACTTGGGGAAGAGATACTGGTTTTGTTTGGTTTTAAATCCACTGTCCTATAGCTTCATGTCTGGACATGGTTAGTGCTCAGTAGGTAATTGATAAATAAATAAGTGAATATATGAATACCAGGTGTAAGAGTTATGCAGCAGATGAAATCAAGACTAAACCAAGTGATAGGATACAGGTCACAAGCCAAATATATTAGGAAAATTATCTATTAGCCTTATAAGGTTTTTGACCACCACGGAAAACCATAGTATAGGTAAGTACACCATCATCATCATAGTTGGAAGTTAATGCATGCTTTTTTGAATTTTTGGTAAATCAAAGAAGCATCCAGAAATTTGAATAAATATGTCCATTTGTTTCTATCATTATATATGCAGAAAGTAATCAAGTGATAAATACACTTTATATTTGAAAAGTTCCTATAGTTCTATCAATGCCTAACAGTCAAAAGGCTGTTCATTACTACATCTTGAAGAAGCAGTCCCTGACTTTCGCTTCAAAAACAGCAAAGGAGGATCTGGAGAGTGTTCTATTTGAACTCAGAGCTGTGGTTAGTTAGCATAGATTACCTAGTCCTCCTGCGTGGGCGTCAATGAGAGAGGCTGCCACTGCAATCCCAGCGGGAAGGCCAAGGTCTTTTGCTGCCTCCTGTGTGAGTCCATTTCCCAGAGAAGCTCCAGGAGGCAGCACTTGGTTTCCTGTGTAGATATGAGAATAAACATATAATCATTGAATTGAAAAACACACAAGTACACACAGAGGGGCCGATGTTGTAGCTTAGCAGGGAAAGCTGCCACTTGCAACACCAGCATCCCATATCTGTGCTGGTTCATATCCTGGCTGCTCTACTTCCAATACAGCTCCCTGCTGATGGCCTGTGAAAAGCAGCGGAAGATGGACCAAGGTTTAAGTCCCTGCTGCTGATGTAGGAGACTTGGGTGAAGCTCCCGGCTCCTGGCTTTGGCCTGGCTCAGCTCAGCCATTATGGCCACCTGGGGAGTGAACCAGCAGATTTAAGATTATGTGTGTGCATGTGTGTGTCTGTGTGTCCTTCTTTGTGACTCTGACTTTCAAAATAAATAAATAAATTTTTAAGGCACTTTTTTTGTGAGAACCCCTTGGATCCTTCCCACCTCCCACGAATTTATTCAACTTCACAAAGATAGAAACCATGCAGCAAATCTCTGTGTGCATTTGATGGCATAAGGGTATATACTTAGTCTCAGTATCAATAGCTCATGCTCTGAGGTTCTTTACAAAGCAAGGGGCTCCAAGGCATCATATGAACCAAAGAAAGATTCCATTAATGGAAAATTCCAGAAAGAATATAAATACTGTGGCCTCCCTTGAAGGCTATGTTAAGACACTTAAACTGTTCCACATGGGTTTCTTAGCAGCTCTACCAGCATACCACACACACACACACACACACACACACACGATCCATTCATATTCTCTGATGTACATAGACTCCTAAGGATGCTGAGAAAATTTACTCTGCCGTTGCTTTCTATTAGAAGATAAGGGAAGGAAGGATTTTTTCATCAACAAAGAATTTTTTAAAAGTTTTCTCAGCTCTTTCCCTCTTTTCTCAGGAAAAAAAAAGTCTAAAGCTTGCAATCCTTACAAGACTCCTCCTTGCACAATCATAGGATACAATTTGAATGATGTTCTCTGAAGTTGTGCAACACAGTGACCTGGTATTCCAAGTGACCTTGAATTCTTGTAGTCAGTCAGGTCTTCAGTTAAGAATTTTCTGATTGTCTTGCTTTGCGTGGGCACCATGGGGATGAAAAGGTCCTCTTAACCTGCTCCCAGTCTGGTTAAAAGGACCAGATAAGGACACAGAGAACAACGGATATCAGGAGAGACTGAAATGATCCATCTGTTCCCAGGTGTTTAACAAGGGCTGAGCCTTCTACAATAAGTATTAATGCACTGCAGGGAGGGGGCAGAAAGATAGGGGTTGACGTATGCTTATGTCCCATTGAACACTGAGATTCCAGGAATGTGAATTTTTTTTAGCAATCTGTAAATTGTTCAGTGGAGTTGCAGGGCTGGGCAGAGGTGTTCCAGGACTTCTGAAGAAGAGGTGAGGGTGGAAGCAGAGACAACAGCAAAGGGCAAGTGCCTTAGTATATCTCTTCCAAATGGAAACAAAGCATCTACACCGCATCACTTCAATCCATTTGGAAGAGATCAGTTTCAAACTATAACTAAATTTGGAAAAAAAAGTTTACTAAGGAGAACTGAAGCCATCACAATAACTTCTAGAACTACAATGTCCAATAGAGTGCTCACAAGGTGCAAATGTATCAGCACTTGAAATATGGCTAGAATAACTGAGGACTTAAGATTTTCATTATATTTAACTTTATCTAATTTCAATTTAAAACTGAGACAATTTAGTTAACTATGTATTTGGAACAACTTGAGTATACAAATCGAATATTTTAACATTAAGAAACCTAAATATGTATTCCCAACAAAAATCTAGAGTTTTAATTGAGATGTGTAAAGTGGAAATTCCACTCTAGCTGTTGAAGATCTAGTGTGGAAAAATGAATGTAAAATATCTCAATGATTTTATGTCAGTTACATATTGAAAACCTATTTTGTATATATTAAGTTAAATAAGATATATTAAAATGAATTTCACCTACTTTTTTTTTTTTACTTTATTGTGGTACTGAAAAATTTGAAGTTTCTTATGTGGCTCATATTACATTTCTTTGGGCTAGCACTGATTTAGAGGGGAAGGTTAAGATGCTCACACGATGGGTTAGGGAGTAGGAAAACCTCCAGTTTGTGTTGAATGCTCAGGGCAGCAGAACTCTAGAAGAAGGCAGCATCTTTGGCTCTGGACAATATCTCAATTCCATCACTATGTCTAGTGCCCAACACAGAATAGACAACATTAACATTTGCTGAGTCCTTCCATGTCAGGGACTTTAAAAAAGGTAAATTCTCCAGTCAGACAGTTGTGGATTCTATTCTGATTGGTACCAAAATTTGTGCTTTAATCACTACATTATCTTTTGGAGAAGATTTTTAAATTATTATTTTACTTATGTGAAAGGTAGACAAACAGACACACACAGAATGAGAGATGAGAACAAAGAGAGAGAGAAAGAGAAAGAAAGAGAGAGAGAGAATATTTCATCCACTGGTTCACTCTCCAAATGCCCTCAACAGACAGAGCTGGGCCAGGATGAAACCAGGGTGCACATTAGCAGGAAGGTGTATTGGAAGTGGAGCCAGGACTCTCAAGTACTCTGATGTGGGATGTGGGTGGGTATCCTGATTGATGATAACCTGGGGCACATATATTTTTAATGCTTTCTTGGATAAATGAGAGGATAAAGAGAAGTACATTTAGAATAAGCAATATATATGTTTAAAAGGTAGAATCAGGGCCAGTGCTGTGCCACAGTGGGTGAAGCTGTCACCTGCAGTGCTGTCATCCCATATGGGCGCCGGTTCAAGTCCCGGATGCTCTACTTCCAATCCAGTTCTCTGCTATGGCCTAGGAAAGCAGCAGAAGATGGCCCAAGTACTTGGGCCCCTACACCCATGTGGGAGACCCAGAAGAAGATTCTGGCTCCTGGCTTTGGATCAGCCCAGCTCCGGCCATTGTGGCCATTTGGGGAGTAAATCAGTGGATGGAAGACCTCTCTCTCTCTCTCTCTCTCTCTCTCTCTTTCTCTCTTTCTCTCTTTCTCTCTCTCTCTCTGCCACCCTGCTTTTTAAATAAATATTTTAAAGGTAGCATCATTTGGAAATATTGCCGACTAAGTTCAGATTTTTTGAAGGGGTTAATTTTAGGGAATGAATAGCAGGTTAAGTCACTGCTTGTGAGACCAGCAACCCTTATCAGAGCACTGGCTCCAGTTTTGGCTGCTTTGCTTCCAATTCAGCCCCTACTAATGTTCATGAAGCAGTTGATGATGACCCTAGCACTGAGGTCCCTGCCACACATGTGAGAGACCAGGATAGAGTTCCTGGCTGCTGACTTCAGCTTGGACAAGTCTTGGCTGTTGGACCATATAGGAAATGAACCAGCAGATGGACGATCTCTCTATTTCTCTCTCTCTCTTCCTCTCTCTGTGTCACTTTGACTTTCAAATACATGACTAAATGGATTTTTTAAAAGGGTTAATTTTTCATAGGAAGATCAAAATGGAAACTCTGTTCCACATTCCTCTCCAATCTCCACAAACTTAAAGGAAGTAATTTTCATAAGACAGCTACCAGATAGAGGAAGGGTAAGGCACTCTTGCTGTTTTCCCTACAGTAATTCAAAGACAAAGCTTAACTACTACATGGGCTCGCCTTGATTCTGTGTCCCCTGTGCTCCAAGTGTGAGGCTGCAGACCAGTGTGAAACCCAGAGAGGGTCCTGGGCCTGGAGGCAGGGGGCCTGGGGTCCAATTGCATGCTCAAGGACCACAGGGGGATTTCTCAGCAGAGGAAACAAAGACCAAGAAATACAGGAGAAGGGACCCTTGTGAGAAATGTCACAAAGGCTGGGTGAACAGGAACATAGGCTCTGGTGGGAACTGGCAGGTGTGGAGATGAGAGAAGAGGGGACGCTGGAGATGCAGGGCCTTGGAATCTGTACTGGGTTTTGAACTTCACCAGGAAGAACACTGGGAATCTCAGAAGAAGTGGTAATGGAAGAGGCAAGTGATCAGATTGGTATTTCCTTAAAGTTCTCGCTGGTAGCACTACTGGAGAGGTCAGGGTAGGGTTAGGCAAAAAGCAGGGCCTTCAATACAGCATTGGTAACTGGGATGTTGAACCAGAGGCAGATCCAAGAGATTGTGAGGAGCAAGAAATAACACATCATGGTGTCTTGGATGCAGGGATGCAGAAGAGAGGGGGATGTCCCAGCCCAGGTTCCCTGGTTACGGACAGACTTGCTACCCAACTGAGTGCCCTGCTGTCAGTTCCTTCAGGGCCTGTCTCAGCTGCAGAGAGCTGCCTTGCTCACGAAAGACTTTCCCAAGGACTTGATGTGGAGGGGTTGCGGGGAGCTCTGATGGGCACCACTGGCTCCAGAACATTCTGGTGGGTTGACCAGGATGTTGCAGGATTCCATCATCCGCTGCCCGATCTTACTCCCTCCTCCTTTACAGATGACCATCCTGATTAAACATCTTAGACCCCCAAATCTGTCTCACTCTCTGCTTCTAGAAAATGCAACTGAGGACAGTGAGTCAGCCTTCAGCCTGGTGGTTCTAGGAATGAAAATAAATCCACACCAAGAAGAACATGCCCCATTCAAATGGAACCACAGTGGCCAAGAACAGTCTACATGGACCCCAAGCAGGAAAGAACATCGTTTAGCTAGAGCCCAAAAGGAAACAGGCTGGCAGAAGAGAGGATGACAGAAATAAGTGAGAATCCCTGAGAAATCCCCCCTTGCAAGTCGCGCTGTCAGCTGGAGATGCGCAGAGGGGACTGGAGCTGCCAGAGGCAATCGCGGTGGCTCTTAACTTCTCCCCAAACGATCCTTGTTGCACTTTTCCTTCACCATAAAATTAAATTAATCACAGCAGCGCTTTTCCCAAAGGTAATCAACACTGCCTCAGCACTGGCAGTCTCTTCTAGGCTGCATTCAGCATTCATTCAGACATTTTCCCAAACATTTCAGTAACAACAGTAGTAATGAGGGCCCTGTAGACCCCCATCCACCT